TGTCTTTCCTTTCTCTCCCTTAGCCTTACCCTGTCTTTCCTTTCTCTCCCTTAGCCTTATCCTGTCTTTCCTTTCTCTCCCTTAGCCTTATCCTGTCTTTCCTTTCTCTCCCTTATGCATTTTCCCCCCAGGGGTTATCCCTGTGATAGATAATATAGATGACAACACCCAAAATGCTAACATACCTGTTCAAACAAAATTGTTAAAATAAACCCTACCTATATATGTTTTCAGACACCGATTATTCAGTGTCCTTTCACTCTAATCCACCCCAAGGGAATTATTGATGAGGACCTGGGTTACTCCTCTCCCCTTTTTCTGGGGTGGGTCGTAACAGTGGTCAGGCTTACGTGGGGCTCCCCAGGTAAAAGGAGCCGGGGGGGGGGGGTTGGTGGTTCAGCTTTGATGGCTCAAAGGGACAAAATCCCCACAAAAGTCAAGCACACCAGCCAATTCATAAGCAATTGGGAGCAACAGGGACCCTTCAGCACTGTCTAAAGAATCAGCTGGATGCTTATCCAGGTGAGATGGGCATGGACTCTACCTGAGTCCAATATTTTGTGGAGGTTTCCAGATGACAAAGCATTGCTGTCTGTGGAGGTAGGGACTATTTCAGAAGGATTTGTGATGGAAAGCTAGAACTCGATTTCATTTACGAAGACTGTAAAATGCCTTCTCAAATGAGTTAGATGTTTTTGGTTCTCCCTTCTGCATTTCAAAGAAAGTTGCAGGGAGAAGCTGTGAGCAAGCTACCTCTCTCCCTGGCATGCAGAGAGATAACATCTTTGCAGACATGTACTAGGCCTCCTCAGGCCAGAGAGAGTGGGTGAGGAGAGAGAGAAGATATAAAAAGCCTTGGAGAAGATGGGGCACTGCCTTTTTTCCCTGGGGTCCGGTGTGTGCAGCATAGTTAAGAAGTGGTCCTTGCATCTTAAATAAACCTTTTTTTTAATCCTTCCACTGCCTTGGCGTTCTTGGGAAATTCATATGTTTTACCTTACACTGTCTTTCCTCTCAGGAGCTGCCGTCACATATTTAACCAGAAATGCAATGGCAGCAGAAGGGCAAACTGACACAGCATCAGATAAATCTGCCCCAAATCCTACTGTTCTGCCTATAAAGGCAAGATCACATCTCTGCCCCAGAATTTTAAGCTGCCATCTGAGACAAACACACCCACCAGAC